CCCCCGCCCGCGCCCCCTCCGGAATCCAGGCCGGGCTTTGCTTTGCGCCCCCAGCCTGACGCAGCCCGGCCTCTGGCGAGAGCCAATCACAGGGCACCTCTCAGCACGTGGAGAAGAGAGACTCCAGCTCTCCGCGCCCGCCGCTCACTACACTAGTTACCGCTTGTCCTGAGCGCGGAGAGGGCGAGCTCGGGCCACAGGCAGGGCGGGAGCCGGTAGCCAGCAACCAAAGGAAGCAGAACACAAAGATCGCAGTTCTAACCGTTAGCCCCAGCCGCCCCCCCCAACACACACTCAGCCATCCCCCCTCAGGGAGAGGCAGCCAGCGGCCCGCTCACTGCGCCCAGCGAAAAAGCCCCAGCCATGAGCAACCAATACCAGGACGAGGGCTGCTCCGAGAGGCCCGAGTGCAAAAGTAAATCGCCAACTTTGCTCTCCTCCTACTGTATCGACAGCATCCTGGGCCGGAGGAGCCCTTGCAAGATGCGGCTGCTGGGGACCGCGCAAAGCCTGCCCGCCCCGCTGGCCAGCCGCGCCGACCAGGAGAAGGCCGTGCAAGGTAAGACTGCGCCCACCAGGCACCTGCGGAGGGCGCTGGGCACTGGTTGTGATCCCAGCTGTCTGGGAGCTGAGGGCTTCGGGTTGTTCAGCTGGAGTCTGAGGAAGGAGAGGGGACAGCCCTGAGGCCTGGTGCTTCCGAGAGCGGTAAACATCTCTCCAGGGGCCGTCTCTCCCTCCCAGTCTGCTTCCCCGCAGCAGAGGCCCGGTCTCGCTTCCGGGGCCCTTGGGTTCTCAGTGTTGGTCGGAGGTCGTTTCAATGCCCCGTTTGGTGGCCTTGAGTGTACTCTGAAGAGGGACGATAGGGCAGAAGCAGTAGGTGCCAGGGTGGATCCTTGTAGCGACAACTTGTGAAGAGAAGAAACCCCAAAGTCTAGTGAATGGGCGTCTCCAGGCCGGGTGAGCTTCAGGCTTTTCTCTTTGGAGGATTTCTTTATGTGCAGAATTTGTTTTGTTTTAAAATTACTTGTGATCTTTGAAACCGCAACTTTGTAGAAAACGTCTCCCTAGGCTTCCCGTAAACGCCCCTGGTTGTTTTTGAACTATATGAAATGTGCAGCTTCTGCGTGGCTATTTTTTCCTGTCTGCTATGTTAACTTTTTAAACAGAGTTGAGCTGGTGAGATGTTGGTTGAAAGTTTTTTTTTTCCCCTAAATTAAAAATTCAAGAACCACTGTCATTTTACCTCGAACCCGTTATGCTCAAGTTTCGCCTTGAGCTGCTACCTGCAGGGCTGTCACAGGGCAAGAATTATTGGTTCCTTGTAAAATCCGAAAACTAGCTGTCCGGCCGCAGTGCCACTTGAAAGAGAGGAGGGAACGGCAGAGAAGCGGCCGTTTAAAAGAAAACCGACTTTTTCCTTTTTTTGTTGTTGTTGTGGTTGTCGTGGTTCGCAGTGGTCCCTGTGCCAGGCATTTCCTCACAAATGCCTCTGCCCGTTGGGGCCCCTCCGCCCCCCGCGCCAGGCCTTTCGCAGTGCATTTTCGCCGGGACGATTTTCTTTGCCTTTTTGTGCCAGAGTCCCAGGCCCCTCCTGCAGGGAGCTGGTTGGGGTGAGGCCGGAGCTCCGGGCCACAGGACCCCCACCCCCACTTCTCCCTGCAGGGGGTCCCGGAGGGGCAGCGCCTCTCTCGCCAACCAGGGTCCAGGCGGCTGAGCTGCGCGCAGAGATCGTGCGCAAAGTTTTCAGGGTAGCGGTGATTTTTTAAGTTGTTAAATGTTTTCGGATTCTTCCATGGCCTTGGGGAGGGGGGCCGGGGAGACCAAAGTGGGAGAGGGAAAAGGAAAAAAGGGAAAGAGGAAGGGAGAAGGGTGGGAGCGCGCAAAATGAGGAGGAAGAGAAGGAAAGGGGGATGAGGAAAGGAAGGGGGAGAGAAGAAAAAAGAGAAGGGAAGACGAAGTGCAAAGGGCGAGGAAAGGAAGAAAAATCAAGGGAGCCGGAGAAGGAGAGAGAAGAAGGAAAGGGGGCAGCGAGAGGAGGCGAGAAACCAGGAAACTGGAGAGAAAGACAGGGAGAGAAAGCTATCAAGAAAAAGAAACCAGCAAAGCGGGGAAGGGGACGGCGGGCTGTGAGTTGGCCGGCACGGAGGGGCCATGGCCCGGCGCCCGACGCACTGACCGCCCTCCCTTGCCCGCAGGCTCCCCCAAGGGCAGCAGCACCCCGTTCGAGGCCGAGCTGCACCTGCCGCCCAAGCTGCGGCGCCTGTACGGCCCGGGTGGGGGCCGCCTCC